ATCGAGCATAGATCTACTACACACATTTTAATTCTTATAATAAGCATAAACTGGAGACGATTTGACAAAACTAGACCCATTTATGCAAAATTATAAAACCGATATATCTGTCTCTCCTGACATTCGAGATTACTCTTAAACGTTACAAAGTACAAAATCTCCCTAAAATACATCTTCACCAATTATTTACAAGATGCATCTTAAGAGAATGTCTGATAGCCATATAATTTCCAATACCGACGCAATTTTTTTCTAAATAACAAATGTATTGATTTTTAGACAGTTATTTATTTAAAGGGCAACTCAAACACTTTTAATTTTTATTTTCTCCAAAATCTACAATTATTATTGTCAATTAAAAATTCATTCGCTCGTACATACAGACTGCTTATTTTATATATACACTATAGAGAGACTGGCTACTAAGAAGAAATCATGTAAAAACATCTATGACTAAAGTTTTCAAGAATGAAGCAAACATAAATTATCGAAATAGCCCTGTTTTGAGAAAAGAAAACATGATATTCCCCAAAAATGACATTTTTCTGTCTGTCACCAGCCATTAGGTAACATGCAGACAGGCAGGGCCTTTAAGTTTGCAGCAGAAATACTTTGCATCAGGTAACAATATCTTGAACGATTTAAACCTGAGTCAATTCTCTCTGGTAACTTTATCAATTCAAGAGGACCGGAGAAAGGTTATTGACAGATACCCCGGGTATTATTTTCTGTGATGTAGATTATGTACAGCTTCGACTTCCGAGCTGCTTTAACACGGTTGGAGCGACTGAAACCTTGTGAATCAAGATGGATTGTGTAGCCACTTTAACCCTGCTGTAATCAAGTTTTTTCCTCATCTAAAGATCCACGAAGAACAATTAATAATTAATGGGATCAGATCGACAAGATCGGTCACTCTTGAATTAAAAATAATCATTTCAGTAATCTTTTCATTTGACTAATCATTCTCTTCAAAATTCTCAAATTCTCCAAAATAGGCATTTTACAATTAAGCTTATGTGTCCAAATATAACGTAACATTATCCAGCCAGTCAGAAACAACTTCATGATTACGTTTTAACCCAAGGACATCGATGATGTATTTGCAGCATAAAAACTTGTGACATTGTTTATGGTCATCGGGAGTTGTGTGACTGTTGCAACCGATTCGTTAAAGGGTGTATGATGCTTAGATTATGGTTTTGTTGGGTACTTACATAATGGGTGATTTCTGATGGAATTAAAACATACACAATCTTCCAACTAATGCCAAGGTCACATTTGCTCCGATTCATCGGTCGGTGCCCGGCTGATTGAGTATTTTGTTCAAAATTCAAGGTCAAATCTCAAATTTGAGGTCAGATGTGAAGTCCTGAGCTTGTACTTGATTTTAAAAATAAGTTTCGTCAATTTGTAGCAAGTTGAAATCAGTTTTGAACAAAATAGTACAATCGACCGTGCGCCGGCCGATGAATCGGGGTAAATGTGACCTAGGCATAAGAGGCCTCTGGCTTTTGGTAGATAGGTTATGACTGCAATCACTTATATGTATAATTATCATTGGTATAAAATGGAAATGCACATTTAGGCAACAGGACTATTATACCGCATAGTATTGATCTTAATCACTAACGTTTTTGTATTTGTGTATCCCTAAAACATGAATTTGTTAATGCATTATTGTCCTTTAAAGTTTTTAGTTTTAGTTTAAAATAGTTTATTAAAGTCACACACATATAATACAATTAAAATACATAAGATAAAATACAAATCAACAAATATGTCCAGCCGTTGCCGACTTATGAGTGACTACAGGTAAATCGTCTTCTACGCCACATTTTAAAAATACATTTGCTTAAGATAAAACTATTACAAGAAATTTAAATTAAAAAGTTAAATGAGTTATTCTGGAAAATATATACAAATTAAAAGCAGCAATCGGGTCAATGATCTATACAAGTAGGGTGGACTCGGTGTTTTAATTGGTCACAAACTTCTTTTAAACGGGTGGTTTTTGAATTCGATAAATAATTGCCCTCAAATGTCATAGGTATCATGAACTTAATTTGAACTGGTTCTCATGGTATCGAAATTCAGATGTGAAAAACACAACTCAGATTTGAACTAACACTTTTAGAATACCCCAAGGAACATAATGAATAAAGTATAAATCCTGAAACAATAAGTGACACCGTACGACCATAGATTCAACTTGCTTATACCCATTGGTCATCTGTTCCAAACAATGGCGAATATTTGAAAGAATAACAGCTAGATGATATCAGAAGCAAAAAATATATTTCTTCTGATATTCAGGTAAATGGTTTCAATATTGACTAGGAAAAGAGTAATATCCGGTAGCGGTGCTTGTAGTCTTATAGTCTACGATCATTTTAATGATTTTCCGTCTTCGCAGTTGATGAAATTAGACTGTTTTTTAAAGCCCCGTGGGTGATCATTATTAAAATAAAGAAAGTGTAAATTACTGTGTGCCGATTGAGTTCAATCTTAAGTTCATTAACCTGCAAACTTTGATTTGGGCTATTTCGTGATTTTCCAAAATCTCGCGAGAGATCGTGAATTCCCTAACACGCGAGAGTTTTTGTTTTAAGTGGCATTCCATCAGTTATGGCTCCCAGGGTCAAATGAAGATCTAATATTAAGTATTTAGCCATTAGTGGCGTATTATGGAAACGTCATAAATGCATCATAACTGAAATGGGCCTATAATCATATTAGAACTGATTAAACTGTCAGGCAATCACGATTCACTGATTCCGAAACCCCTAGAGGACCTCAAATTATTGGGTTTAGTTCCCCAGGGCCTCAATCAGCCTGTATTGAAGATGCAATGTTATCCACGTTCGGAAGTCGTTGCCGCTAGGGAGCACATTTGCATTATTTCTGCAATATCTAATATTCCATATCTTGCATTGAAACCCCTACAGTGCTAGCGATCATTAGAAAGATTTTTCAAATCTTATGGCTGAGATTTTTAGATGGTGGATATTTCGGTAGTTGCATTATATTGCTCCGTGTTTTGCGGCTACCTTTGAGGTTGGTTTGGGCACAGTCCATTGATGGCATGAGGCATGTGGATAGTGAGTGGCTTATGCATTTACGCGAATTAAACATTATTACTTTAAAGTATCTGTTGATCGATGTCAGTGTATACGCCGGGGTATACTCCTGATACTTGTACAATTAAAAAACAAAAACTTTTTCACATATACATGTGCCTAGACATACATTATCATTTACAGACCAATCAGAACACGGTAGTGTGTAATATTAATATGTGCTATCCTTATATGCAAATCTGAGGGTTAGGAAATGCATGCATATTTTTACATATAAAATTCTAGCAAATTCTCTGAAATCCAATGAGAAAAATTTCACTTTGGGTTTTTTGAGCCCTAGATATGCATGCATTTCCTCACCAAAAAACCCTCGTTGAATTTTAGAGAATTTGCTATATATAAAAATAATCTAAGCATATGGTTTAATGCTTGCACTTCTATAATGCACTCAATTGTTGTATGTTAGCCTATAAAACCACGCCCTCGTTTAAAGCCTCATACAAGAAATTCGTGAAATAAATCACCTATAAACCATATATCTAGTCCTGGGTCTAAATCCTACACAATTTGTGAACTATAATATGCTTACAAAGTATAATGAACGTATTCATTCAAATATATGAAATATAACATTGTTTTAATTGCGCCCCATTTAATCAAGGTAGCACTAATTCTTAATGGCAATTTTATCTACCGCATCTGCTAGACGTAGCGTTCCAATTGCTTTTATTGCTAGACTTTACATTAGTCCATTAACTTCGGGCTTAATTTCACTTTTATCCCGGTCTCCTTAACTTTACGTTGATCATTAGGCGTAATGTATATTTTACCAGCGCGTTATAAGGGGTTCAAGGAGACTCGCACTTAACTACTACACTTATAAATCAACACTGACGATGAAATATGAATATAATTGAATATTCCACGACGTACCGCGAAGAGAAAATGGTAATTTTATTTTAAGGACTATATCAATATCTTGACCATTTATCTATGAACTGAAAAGCTGTATTGACGTTTATGTTATAGTTTATAACGATTTTGATTGCATGAAGATAATAGATTGGGTGAGGTTTCACTGGCGGATTAGGGGGGGGGGGCTGGGGGCCTTTTTGGTCCTTACTGGGCCTATTAAGGCCTTATTTTTTAATTTCAGGCCAAATTTTGAAGAAAATGGGCCTCAAAATTTCAATATTTGGGCCCGCTTTTGGGTTTTAGGGGCCCAAAATGTTTTTTTTTCGTTAACCTGAAATTGACCCCCCCCCCTTGTTGGTTCCCGGATCCGCCCCTGGGTTTTAATAAATGGGTGGCATGAAGTAAGATGGATTGTATTTATGATGTACCCCGGCCCAGGGGTGTAGCAGTTACATTGTTGAAATAACATGTGGTTTACCATAGATTTTCCTAATCCCCCTTTGCAGTCCCATGAGAAACAACTCCGAGATTCGTGAAAATCTCACCCACGATTGCATTTCATGATTTCGTTTGATTCAAATAGTTTTCTCGAATATTAAAGTCATCGTGTCCTCGACTATATTTCGATGAGAATCGACTTCATCAAAACTCCCCCAAGATTTGATTTCGAAGTACACTAGAATGGCAACAACACGTTTTAATAATAAGAACGAGGTTGAAATAAGCACATAATTTCATTACTGCTAGGGGAAGCTAAAGGCATTGGATTGAAGTAATTGAATGAACGATGTTTCTTTTTAGTACACGTTTGGAGCTATTGATCTTTGTTTTTTGATTTGAATAAATTTAATAATAAGAGTGATCAATGCTTGGATGCAAACTGGTGGATTTGTGAAATGTTTCAGTCGAATATTACTTCCTGAAGAAGCTATCCAAATGCGGCTCATTAATTGAATATCGGAATAAAGAATGCAATAACTCAAACACACTCCTCTGTATTTTCAGACTGTTGCCGAAATGACATTTCTGAAGTAGTAGTTGGAAAATAGAGGAAACCGGCTCACATCATATGAGGGCCAATCGCTCGTCAATATAGGAGGCTTACACAAATCACGTCCATCATATAAATGGGATCCAATATAAAGGATATACGGACACGCTGCAGTAAAATAGATTTATAAAAGGATTTTCTACCAAACGAAGATAAAGCGAAGTAATCTTGGAAGATCAACTGATATTTACAATTGGATTACTTTGTGATAGGAAATAATATGGATGTGTTTACAATGTTATCGCTTTTCGTCTCGATCCTAATGCTGTTTTCAGGTAATTATAATGTTTATAGGGAAATAAAACGTGCATCATTTGTAAGTTAATTCTTGATATAAATCAAATAGTGTAACATGCAATGAAATAATTGATATTATACGGGGATGGAAGACCCATTGTTGGATTATTAGCCACATTGTTAAAAAAGAGAAAGTACCAATTCCAAATTGTCTACATCAACATCTGTCCCTCTTTCAACCGCTTGTACCAGAAAAGATGATTATAAAAAAAATAGATAGAGAAATGATTGTGGTATATGTCTGTATTTTGCCATTCAATAATGAGTGGTTCAGTACTATTGAAATTTGAAATATATAGCACTACTTGAATGGAACTAAGAACTGAATAATTTGGAGCGCAGAAAATGTATAATGTATAAGGTACCAATGCTCTTGTGTGAGAATCAAAAAAATTTTGGTTAAGTTCCAAAAATGTAAACAGAACACAGCGAGAAAAATATAGTCATAATGAAAACAAAAGCCAATATCCTAAACCAGAATCTAACATGAAAAGAAACGATGTCTAATACGCACTATCCCCTTCCATGCAAGTTCCATTATCATAATCCAAGACCACGAGCCAAAGGACGTTTCATTCATTCTGAAGTCATTTTTAGGTAATCCAAAAAATGTACTTGGTTATGGCGCGAAATAAAACATTACAGCGTAACATTCACATTGTCTGGTGTGAAATACATTTTCTAGCCTTGTAAACTGAATAGTTTTTGCACTTATGAATTGACATGTTTACAGAAAGGACACGAGAACGGTTAATAGGATTGTGATAATGGTTATCTAATGTTGGGAGAGAGGGGATCATGTGACAATGATGTTTTGTACGTTTGACTTAATTCCCTGTTCCACAACTAGTTACTTTGTAACAAAATGGATGAATACCCTGCGTGCAGGGTCTAGTTAAACTATGAAGACGAAGCTCTCTTTTAAGAAGTGAAGTCAAACGAATGCAAAGGGTAATGGAGGAACTTCATGAATACAAGTTTTTTGTTTTTTCGATTTAAACTTACGTGTAAGTCATTTTGGCATACAGTTAGACAATATCGTCTAGCTTTTAGAAATGCTCTCGGTTTGGAATTTAATTTGTAAACAAAGCTGTAATTCATGCATGTAGACCATCACTTTTGTTACATTGACGTAAGTCGTCAAAACAACATACCAATTGGTAAAATAATGGACTTTCGTCAATGTAACAAAAGCGTGGGGCTAAAAATTCCAAATCGAAGAAACTTATTAAAACTAGACTATATTTTCTAGCTTTGTGCCAAATAATAATCTGCAACTTGACTTATTAGTAGGTTTAAATCAAGAAAACAAAAAAACTCGTAACCAGGAAGTTCATCCATTTTGTTACATTGACGTTCTGTCAAAGTAACTAGTTGTGGAACAGTGTAATTGGCTGAAGTAACTGTCACATTAGCCGTGTGGGCTTGTCGTACGCCACATTGTTGCTAATTTTGGTCATTTATTTTTTGATTGATTTATTTTTGTATTTGATGTGATGGGGAAATTAACTTGCTGTAAAACTATTACTTTTGCCCACCATGTACTCATGCCATGCCCCGCTATCTACCCCAATGTATAACCACACGGTAGCGACGGTGGCTCCACACGACCTAAGTTTGACATCTCCACAAGGTGTCTGGGTGTGTCCATTCTGTTAAGCGCTTGTGTTTCGAGTGATATGTTTTCAAAGTGGAGTTATTCTATATTTCGTCCTTTGCAAATGTGTTTGTAACACATTTACATTTATTACCTAATTCTTGAATATAGCTACGTCTAATGATTAGACCATGGTCATATTAGTGGTTCCATAGTTTTCTTTATGAGATATAAAAGTTCACATACGTCGACCCGGGTTTATTGCCATGTATGCATGTATCTAAAGTTGGAGTTGACTTGATTGAGAAAAATTCACAAGGAAAATATTTGTCATAAGATTTTTTATAAACAGATGTAGATCAGTGTTATTCCTATGGGCATCTATAGTTACTACCTCTTCTGGATATCCCCAGGGTGTACTACACTTACATTTCCCGCCAATTGTCTTGATTAAAAATATTTTCCATATTAGGTACACTCATAGAGCCCTACAAATCATATCTGAAAAACGAAATCATTTCATATCATATCCCAAGAGCGGACCTACATGTTGAAAAGGGTTCCTCTCAAAATATGATATGTGTTATGCGTTGAACTTCTGGCATAGTCTAGTATGTAAACGTTTTGTCAAGAGCTCAAGAACATACATACTAAGGGCAAATCTCATACATCTCAACTGGCAGAATAATATTTTAACTTCAACTTTAATTTAGATTAACCCACGTGATTATGTACATAAATTGTTTTTATTGAAGTGACTAACTGTCGTTAAAGCGTGTTGATACATGAAATAATTAGTTGTGAGATAGTTACAAGGTACTGTGTTTAATAATGCACTTATTGTTTCATACTTTTTGAGATGCTAGAAAATGATCAATTCATAAGTGAAAGCTGGAGGGCGGGTATAATTAATTTGATCAAGGGACCTTCTCAGGAATGATTTTATTATAAAGGACTATGTCTTCCTTCTGTATATGTAAAGAATTATGTACAGTAAAGCCTGTCTTAGTGAGTACCTCTCTCTATTGAACACGTGTGTTTGGTGAACGCCACTTCAAGACAAATTTTACATTGACTGCTGTATAAAACCCCCTCTCTCAAGTGAACACCTACTTATAGCGAACACTGTTTGTGGCTACATAGGTTTTAACTGTATACAGGTTTTGCTGTACATGGGACGAATATTGGACGGGGAGGATACATATTCTTATGTCTTCACAACGACACTCCTCATGACGGCTTACTTGGTGCTAATTTGATGCCATATTATAAATATACCCAAGTGGGTGATTGCGATATCTCGTATGTCATCATTTATTCTATCACCATATTTTCGACAAAAACAATATTGTTAATAAATATGAGGTATGAGATGTAAGTAAAGATTGGATCTTCTTGCATTCGAGTGGATGTCCGTTATTCGGGCGATAATGTTGTCGCATGGTCATGTGACCAATCACGTGTCACATCACATGGCCTCAGCGTGATGGAAAAATTCGTAAAAAATCATGTGTTGCAAGGGTTGTATTGTGTTTCGCTGAGAGAATACACAATGTTTTGGAACATACCCTCGGAGAGAGCGAACATAGGATTGTGATTAGCCACAATTATCGATAAAACCTCAACAAAGCTTTTATGTCACTAACTCTACGATTTATTACATAAGCTGGAGATTCTTCTGCGATCCCATTTACTACCTGACCAAATTGGCTATTGGTGACTGATAAATATCTTATAGATCAGTTTTTGTGTTGTCATGGTGACATGTTGATTATTAGCAAATCACCAGTCGTAAATCGTGACTTCGTAAATGGAGATATTTTTAGTAGGGATCTTTCATCAATTTTGTTTTACTACCGAGTCTATTTTAATGAGTTGTTTGTTCCTTTTACCCTGTTTTCTGTCTTGATTTTTTGTCTCTTGTGAGATTATGCATGATCACATCCTGGGATTGTGCCTGTGTGCCATAATGAATGTATCATGTATACAAATACTATTCAAAACTAAATATCTAGTAGCATAATCTCCCGATGGAGTAATGCTATAAGTCAATGCAGTTCAGTAATGCATAAAGCAACCCAATGCTTAAAGTGACTCGTACTCTTAAATACCACAACAATTTATTTTTAAGATGAGAGTTAAAGGCATGACCACTTTAAAAGTTGAAGCTAATTTAGGTTAGTTACTATAAACGATATTCATTTAAAAGAGGTTACAAGCATTACAATTGTATACTTTTTACATTTTAGAATGCCAGGCTTTCACAAAGTGCTCATTCCCATTGTTCATGCAAACGTTCTCACAAACTCATCACCCAAGACACTGGATTACTCAACGGGTATTTTCAAGACCAAACTCTGAACGAGTTGACACTGAACATGAGTTTACCGTCGATGACTCCGTCATTGCCAATAAGTACAAGTTCCAAGAAGGATGTCGCTCGAGACAGGGCAAAAGTCAGTGTGCATACACTCGAACACAGCCACAGTACAACTTAACGTGTCTTTCAGAGCGCCATGGGAAGTATACAGTGAGGAAAGATGACGTCACAGGAAAAGGGTAGGAAGACACGTGATTTATATTTATTATATGGCATTGCATAGCATCTTTGCTGCAAGGGTATTTTACAAGTATATATGAATTTAAGCATAAACGAAGTCATTTGAAGAAGGATGTTGCATAGGGACCAGTATAGTATTACTCTTCTCTTCGAAGATCAAATGTCAACTTTATGTACGGTTTTAAGAACGAGGTTCATCACTTTGAGCGTTAGCACTTCTTCGGACAAATTTGATTTTTTACATCATAAAGATTGGAATGTCTTCATTTGAATAGTTAAAGTTTAATTTGGGTGATATTTCTATATTTTTCATAAAAAAAATTAAAAGCGCAGTACACTGATGAACTTCTTTCTCCAAATCGAGACTTGTATTTTATTGAATCGGTCTAATTGAGCGTTCCCCCTGCTTCGGACAAAGATATTTTTACATCTTGTAGATTTAAATGTCCTCTTTTGAATGTTCATAATCTAATTTGGGTGATATTTCTATATTTTTCATAAAATAATATTACCCCGTCGTGAGTTCTCCAAACCGGTGTAGAAGGGTAGGAGGTCCTATCAAATTATGGTCCTACTCTCCATTGATTTATATGGTGACCTAAATACAACTCTTTTCCTCATTATCATATACGCAATCAGGGCCAGTAAGGGCCGTTAAGAAAGGGGACTATAATCCCTGGGGGACCATAATTTCTTTCACATCGGGACTATAAGTATACCGGTTTTCGCAAATGATAAGAGTCTGAAGTCGTTGGTGCATTGGGAATGTTATCTGACTGAGAAGCTTCTGCGGAAGAAAAACAACAAAAACACCCTTGTTTATGGACAGACTCATATATATAGGCAGGGACATATAAAACATGCCTCTGATATGGTAATAAAAAACGTAAAATGTCATCATTGTCCTCGTTTGATTAACAGCAGAACATACCTTTACCAGTAGTCAATTTTTAACTGCCTGTCTACATCGTTAGATTCGTATCAAGTTCTAACTGCCCCCAAGGATCATCGCACCTTACTGCTTTACCCTTCCTGGTCCCAATTATTTTAGCACGTCAGATTCGTATCAAGTTTTAACTGCCCCCAAGGATCATTGCACCTTTCTGCTTTACCCTTCCTGGTCCAAATTATTTTAGCACGTCAGATTCGTACCAAGTTCTAACTGCCCCCAACGATCATTGCACCTTTTTGCTTTACCCTTCCTGGTCCCAATTATTTTAGCACGTCAGATTCGTACCAAGTTCTAACTGCCCCCCAACGATCATTGCACATTTTTGCTTTACCCTTCCTGGTCCCAATTATTTTAGCACGTCAGATTCGTATCAAGTTCTAACTGCCCCCAACGATCATCGCACCTTTCTGCTTTACCTTTCAAGTTCCTGGTCCCAATTATTTTAGCACGTCAGATTCGTATCAAGTTCTAAGTGCCCCCAAGGATCATCGCACCTTTCTGCTTTACCCTTCCTGGTCCCAATTATTTTAGCACGTCAGATTCGTATCGAGTTCTAACTGCCCCCAAGGATCATTGCACCTTTCTGCTTTACCCTTCCTGGTCCCAATTATTTTAGCACGTCAGATTCGTATCAAGTTCTAACTGCCCCCAAGGATCATCGCACCTTTCTGCTTAACCCTTCCTGGTCCCAATTATTTTAGCACGTCAGATTCGTATCAGTTCTAACTGCCCCCAAGGATCATTGCACCTTTCTGCTTTACCCTTCTTGGTCCCAATTATTTTAGCACTATTGTTGTCATTAGCAAGGTCAGTGAGTGTATATACCTATGGAGAGGGGGACAATGAGCAATACAAGAACCAATAATATTGCCTTAAGTGCAAAAACATCAATAAACAAACAAGTCTTAACACAATTCTATGATTTCCCATTGTTACAATAACCAGTCGAGACAACATTATTCGTATATTTGTTGTCTTTAATTTCTGGTGAACCAGCAAACGCTTAATTACCTTCAGTTTTAAAAAGTAGATTTCCTGTTCAATTCATCATCATACAAAGACAGTCGTGTTCAATCATCGATCAAATACATTCTAATATGTCACCTAATTATTTGAGAATTGGAGAATCAGCTTTCTTTTCTTGCATGAAAAGCTTATGATTTCTGAAGTGAAAAGATCCGTGATTAATTACATTATTTCCAAATGTCGCACTTAAAATTGAATTACAAACGCACTTTTCTGAAGCGTGAACGTCATTAATGTAATGTAAATATGGAGTGCGCACTCGGGGTAAAGGTTGGGAAATTCATTTTCATCTTCTAAGTTATTAGTCACCCCTCATCCATTCTCAATCGTGTATTTATGGAAATCGTATCACAGTGAACTGTTGGGGAATTAGGGGTCAACTCCTTCCTTAATAAATCACCATGGACAAATTCTGGCATACGGTGTAGCATAGGCTCTGGTTTTATCGATTGTGGATGATCCCCCGTTGGGAATCGACCCAGGGAGCTTCCGCATATATGAGACTGATAGATCAGGTTTCATACCGTATATTTCCGAACGTCAATAATTTACATGTATTAAATGCGAACGAATTTCGACGCATACAGATCTACCAAGTTGAGCAATGTTGACTCCACTTGGGTGGGAATTCCAAGAATGCACCGTTCGATTTTCTGCCGTACTCTTATTTTGACACCACATAACAGCACTAAATCATATAGAGAACGTTTTATATATGTCACGTATAGAAATCATTCTTCATTCAGGCAAATTTAATATAACACCGAACACAGTGACTAACCCTGACCCATTGACCATATTATACGCCATTTCATTTTCTTAAACCAGTAAACGTGTAGGGAGATAATAGGGGATTAGTACAACATTCATCTCAAGATCTCTGCCTAGTGGAGTGTGTAATTGGAAGTTGTTCGTCTGTCTTAGAACGGAGCTATAACAGTATGCTCGCTTTTAACGATAGTTCGTCCCGGCTTTTTCACGGCAGTGAGCTGCCCTTAACATGTTAATACTCAAGAGCTTTGTTTTCTACATGTTGATATTCTAGAGCAAAAGGTATTACTCTCTACAAGTTGATAATCGAGAGATATTGATGTCTACGTATTAATGTTCTAGATCTATTACTGTCTACATGTTAATGTTCTAGATCTATTGCTGTCTGGATGTTGATGTTCTAGATCTATTGCTGTCTACATGTTAATGTTCTAGATCTATTGCTGTCAACATGTTAATGTTCTAGAACTAAATGATCATTGTGTCTACATGTTGACTTTTAAGAGTTATTATATGGTTGTCTACATGTTGCTTTTGCTGTGCTCGTGTTGTTATTCTAGAGCATTTCCTGTCTACGTGAAGACATCAAAATAAGCTATTGATGTCTAAACGTAGTTATTTGAGAGCTATAACTCTCTTATTGACAATGTAGAGCAGTTATTGTCTCAGTCTTGATATGATATGGTATTTGATGATCTCTTCGTGTTACTTATCTAGATGTTGATGTTGCTATCTATATGTTGATCTAGAGCTTTTCATGTCTTCATGATGATATTCTAGAGCTGCTGCTTCTAAATGTTGATATTCTACACCTAGTGATGCCTTCATGTTTATATTTGAGAGGTATGGCTGACTACAATGTTCTAGAATATTTACTATCTATTTGTTAATATTTTATATATTAATATTTTAGGGCTTTCGACTATGTCTACATGTTGATAGTCTAGAGCTATGGCTGTCTATTTGTTGATATTCTTGCACTATTGCTATATCTACATGTTGATGTTCTAGAGCTATTTTGTTCACATGCTGATTTTCTCGAGCTATTGAAATCCACATGTTGGGATTCTAGAGGTATGACTGTCTAAATGTTTGATGTTCAAGAAATAATTAAAGTTTACATGCTGATATTCTAGAGCTGAGTTGAATGTTATCATTCCAGACCTGCTATTGGCGTCTACATGTTAATGTTCTAGTGCTTTTGATGTCTATATATTGACACTTAAAGCGGCCGCTTGTTTCTTCGAGTCGATGATCTATAAAGTAAGCAAAAATGATTGCCTTGTGTACGTCTTTTCTAAACCTATGGGGGAGAAAATGATAAAACAATAGATCACTGAAGGAAACATACAATACTAACCGTTTAAACTACACTATAGGATAACTGCTTTGATAATATAAATGATATGTTAGTTCTACAAGCTGTTTGATTTATGGCATCACGGTTAGTTATTGGTAAACATGATCGATTTTCGGAACGTCAATTCTGAAGTTTGATACATTATCTAAGCAAAAATATACTGTTTGATACCTGAATCATATCATGTTATCAGAAAAATGATGCTATTCAATGGAAATCAATCGTCGCAGACGTGTCTTATTTAGCATTTCGAAGTGCTGCAGGTCATCAATGGGGCCTTTTGTGTGGGCTACACTTAGTTTAGCGATCGTAATTCTGTCGAGGAAGGATTTGGATGGATTTGGCTGAAGCTATAATCCAAAATCCCTTTTGGAATATTATATCGTCATGTCTATATCCTTATGTATCGAAAAATGTCAATAAGAATTCTTCTGATTCTTTGTCAACGTTTAATACTAAGATCTGGTCGGCTCTAGCCGAGTGAAATATTAAATTGAATATATAATCTCACATGTCATGACTGATGGCCTAGCGTGATTTCCCTGACGTATTCCAAAAATTCCAACGCAGATTTGTCATTTCGAAATCCCATAATTCATGTTCCTGGCCAAATTTAGTTAAATGCCAAGTGGGAGATGTATTTCAAATACGAAACTATCTCATGACACTCTCTATATCTCGCTTAATTAGTTCGTATGAATCAAGACATGGGTTTTGTTGTGCGAAGTACAAATTGGCTTTTCTTTGATTGATAGGCTCTTGATGGGGCGCACACCAGTGGAATGAATGTCCCAAAGGAGTTTGGAATTCATTCGTTTAAATACGAATCCCGAGATAAGAATCAGAACTGCAACAAGTGTTTTACATTTCATTTAATTACGATGCTCCTT